CATCATCTGTTGGGTCGTCCACTGGTCCTTACTGAGAACCCATACGAGAACAAAACAAAACACCGCTAAGAAACATTTGGTTAACTTAGGGACAAGTTTCATGAGCTTGTCGTGTCCATAGTCGGCTATACCCACTAGCCTAGTTCGGACCGACGAGGGCACTAGAACCTTCGTACATATTTCACATACCTCCGACGTCTGGGGAATCTCTGGCTGGTTCAATGAACGCTGTACCTTGCCATACTGCAAGTACTCATCCGCCTTCACTCCAGACTCTTTGGTATCCGTGGGTGCTTGTACACAAGGCCTCTCTTCTTGCTCAGTTGCTTCTGCCTCCTTAACCGCATGTTCTTCGTCGGGAGAAGAATCAGGAGACTCTGCTAGTATGCTGTCAATCTGTAGGTGAGAGGAAGGATTAAACATATTTTCTATTTCCAGGTCTGTCTGTACCTGGACATTACCACTGCCTGCTGTTACCTCAGACCTTGCTGTTCCGGCCGACTCGTCCGCAACCTTGGGATGATTGTTGCTCCAATCTGTCACCATGTCGTTGGCTAGTACCACGTCAATCCCAGCTATAGGCAGGGTATCGACTACTGCCAACGCACATGTGCCGCTGAAGTAAGGCGAGTCGAGATGTACCGGCACTAAGGGGGCGACGTACTGCGTCCTAGGAAACCCAACCAGGACAACCTTTTGTCTCCCGTCCACACTCACTCCCTCGGGAAACGAGTTCTTCACGATCAGGGACTGGGCTGCTCCACTATCTCTGAGCACTACAACTGATCTACCAGTATGATCACTCATTACATACCCGCTTGAAGTGTGAGGGGAAAACAATCTGGGTTCTTCCTGCGTAGTCGTAGACTGGCTTCCTGCTGGTAGTGTTACACAGCTCATCAACATCACCTCCCTACGTGCGCCGCTACCTCTTCTGCCTCGGCACATAGCAGCTACATGCCCTTTCTGCCCACAAGTCCAGCTCACCACATTCCTCCTCGGACTCTAGTGTTTCGGACTATTGGGACTAGTCCTTCGAGGGCTACTTGGGGGCGTCTTCTTAGCGCTTTGGGGGCGGAGGTCTCCTCTTCGTCATGACGAGGTTTGTCAAACCGGCGTGGGTAATTCCTCGGGACGTACTTAGCAGAAGGCCTGTGCGTCAAGATGTATTCCTCAGCCATGGTGGCTGCCGCACTCAAGGTCTCCACCTGCTGCTCCTCTACGTACGTCTTTAGATCTCCAGACAGACAGTCTTTGAAGTCCTCTAACAGTATGAGCTGCTCGAGGTCTTCTTTGGTCTCCACCTTCCGAGAGGCACACCATTCCTGGAAAAGTCGATCCTTGATTGTGGTGAATTCGGTGAAAGTGGGCTCTGAGGTCTTTTTCAGGTTTCTAAACTTTTGCCTGTAAGCCTCAGGTACCAATTGGTATGCCATGAGCACTACCTTCTTCACCTTTTCGTAATCGCCAGTCATCAAGGGACAACGTGGAGTAGGCGACTTGGGCCTTCCCAGTCAAGACTGACTGTATCATGATGGCCCAATTCTCCCTTGGCCACTCCAAAGAGGCTGCGACTTTCTCGAAGGCCGCGAAGAACTTCGAAACTTCCTTCTCGTTGAATTTCGGGACCATTTTGATGTTCCTCACCGGATCGAAAAGACTTGTGTCCGTCGTTTGCCTCCGACCACCGCCTAACCGAAATACTTCTAGCTCATGTTGTCTCTCTCTTTCCTCTCTGTCCCGTCGTTCTTGCCTGTCTCGTTCTTTTTCTCGTTCTTCTCTTTCTCTTTCTCGTTCTTCTCTTTCTCGTTCTCGTTTCTCTTCTCTTTCTCGTTCTTTTTCTCGCTCTTGTCTTTCTCTTTCTTCTCTTTCTCTTTCTCATTCTAATTCTAAACGCCTCATCTCTAATTCTTTTCCTAATCTCTCTCTTTCCATTTCTAATTTCTTATCTTCTCTCTCTCTCGCTTTCTTTCTCTCTCTTTAGCGATTTCTACCTTTTTCCATTCTATTTCACGATGGATCTCTAGTTCACTCATTTTCACAGTAAGTAAACTTATATTTAGTTCACTTTCATCACTTTCGACATCACTGCTCTTACCTTTCTTTTCAGTGGAAGCCATCTCGTCACCTTCTTTTATAATATGTGCCTCGCCTTCCTGTTTCTCCTCGGCCTTCAAATGCTTGTGAACCTTGGACAAGGTCTCCACACGGGTATCACTGGCACGGATCTTGATCTCTAGGTAGGCACTAACTAGTACGAGTTCCTGTTCGCCCAGATATTTTAATCTGGCAAGACAGTCCTCCCTGTTCAGAAAAGCCTGAACATCGTCCAGATCGTCGATGGTCGCTTTTTCTGCCATTGTCACAGATGGAACACTTAGCACTTAACACACCGCTTCACTTTAGCACTTAACGCACCGAGCACTGTTCTACGTCAATATTGCACTTTATCGCACCATACACTGCACTTGCCAATATTGCACGTAATTACATCGGGCACCGCGCTACACAATATTGCACTTAATCACAGCGAGCACCTCGCTCTACAATATTGCACTGAATCACACCGAGCACCGCACTATACAATATTGCATATAATCACGGCAAGCACTTTGCTCTACAATATTGCATTGAATCACACCGAGCACCGCACTACACAATATTGCACTTACTCACAGCGAGCACCGCACTGCACAATATTGCACTTAGTCACTCCGAGCACCGCACAGGATGTATACCGTCCTAATAGTCACACACAGGGGGAATTATTTACAGGGATTACGCCACTTCACCACCCCTGTCAAACATACTTGACAAGGGGTCGGATCCAGCTGGGGATGCCAATTATGATACGGCCCTCTCGGGTCGCAACCGGGTTCTTTTTCTGATGTTGTTAGAGGTAGGGTATCCGGCCCCAAGCTAGTAGTGGCTTTCAAGGGATGTGATCCGTAATGCAAGTAAATTAAAGGGGAAGGGAAATAAAGGCCAAAACTTAATAATATAATTACCACCATCACCATAAATAATATAAAGATTATCACAAGGGGGAGGAATAAACACTATAATATGCAACGTAGTCTTCCGCTGAAGACTCTGGACGTTCACGGTGCTCAACGATGCTAAGCTCTGACTCCTCTCGTGGCCTCACGATGAATCCTTCGATTCTCTTGAGTCTACCCCGGCCACAGGCCAGCCAAATCACAGTTCCACTGGGGGCACCGTCATGGAGGCCGCCAACCACAAGTCCAGCAGGTAGCTGGCAGGTCCAATCAGCAACGCTGGTTAGGCCACTCCACGACCGATACTAGGGTAGTGAGCCCTAGTCAGGAGCCTCGTATGATCCCACAGACCACTCTCCTCGCCACAACACCCCAGTGGTTAAGCGTCTCCACCAGTCAGTCCCGGGTACGACAATCCCTCAACTGCCACGTCACAGGCAGGGTAACACTACAGTGTTCATCCGGGGGGCGACTCACAGCTGCTGCAGCAAACACTTGGAGACAAGACGGCTGCCTTGGGAAGACTGATCCACTGTCCGATTCAGCAGTCCCAGGTCGACTCTGTAATCAGACACATCATCAGTACTAGGGACACTCTAGGGCATGTCACTTACCGGCTCAGACCCAAACGCCCACCTATCCACTCCATAGATGGCGTTGCTGTCTAAGCGCCACCTCACCAGAGGTCAGCAGCGGCTGTGTTATGAGCTAATCAGGACGGGAAACTAGCCCTTGTGGCTGGTATTTCCTGTCCTCACTTGGTGGCGTCGTCCGTTTGGAGGGGGTTTCGGGGGCTGACCCACAGATGGCGCGGTCGTCACTGCTCCGTGCTCGGACGTTGGGCTCGGATCCGTAACACCCCTTATATAGTCCGGTGGTGATGACTCATCCGGTGTCAATGCAAGGTGGACCTCTGGTCAACTAGCAAATTGCTCGTTGTGGCTGGCGGTGCCTTTGTGTTGACCTGCACCACTGCTAATTGAAGACAGCTAACTTCTTGTTTGTGAAGGCAAACGACCGGTTAGCAGGCAGGTTAGACCGGCTTACCTCTGTCGTACCAGGCAGTGCCAGGCCCTGGGGGAGGGTATGGAGAGGTGGCAGGACTGATGACTCATCTGGGCTGGTATAGAGGTAAACTTCCAGTGCAGAGGCATTGAAGGTGAAGGGAAAAGGCAGTTCCACTGTTATGCAGGGGATTCATGTGACAGTTCTTCCCCCAAAGCCTTTTCCTAATGCCTGAGATGTCGATGCTGGAAGAAATGTGGAAGCGGAAGGTTCCACTTCATGAATACGTGATAGAGCGTCTTCAATTATGTTGTCTGATCCTTTGATGTAGAAGATCTGGACATTGTAGTTTTGTAGGTACAAGACCCAACGAAGTGGACACTGGCTGGAGAATTGAGCTTGCTGTAGAAAACGAAGAGGATTATGATCGGAATAGATAGTGATGGGTTGGTGTCATTGAAGGTAAGGTTCATATCATTGCAAGCATAGGACGATGGCGAGTAGTGCCTTCTCTGTAGTTCTGTAGTTTTGTAGTAGCTGATTGGTAGGACTTCCCCCTCTCTGCTGCATCAGGACACCCCCAATGCCAATGTGGCTAGCATTATCATTAAGAATGAAGGATTGTTTCACATCTGGAGAGGCGAGAATCGGGTTAGTACACAGCAAAGTTTTCAATTGTTCGAAGGCAATGGATTGTGAGTTGGTCCAAATGTATTTTCTTTTAGGGCTGGTAAGATTGATTAAAGGTGTAGTAACTATGCTGAAGTTCTTGCAGAACCTACAGTAATAAGACGCTAGTCCCAAGAATCTCATGAGTTGTTTATGAGAAGTGGGTTATGGATATTTTTGGATGGCTTGAAGATGTATGTCTAAAGGTGCTAAGCATCCACTGCCTATAACATGATCAAAGTATTGTACTCTACTTTTAGTAAACGTGGACTTGCCAAAATTAATGGTTAGACCACCCTGGAGAAACTTGTCGAATAGTCGTTGTAGTCAGTCATGATGTTCTTCCCACGAGTTGGTCGCTACAACGATGTCGTCCAGGTAGGCATAGGTGTCGTCAAGATCTTGGATGACGAGGTTGACAGATCGATGGAAAGTAGCTGGGGCATTGTAAAGTCCAAAAGGTAACCGTTCATACCTAAAAAGGCCAAAAGGAGTGGTAAAGGCTGAGATATATTTAGCACTGTTACGGCCCTACTGGGGCGTAACCGGGTTCTTTTCTGGTGTTATTAGAATTTGGGAATCCGGCCCCAAGCTAGTAGAGGCTTTCAAGGGGTGCGTTCCGTAACGCAAGTTAAATTAAAGGGGAAGGGATACAAATGCACTAATTTAAATATATAATCACCACCACCATAAATAAATATATAAACTGTCACACGGGGGGTATAAATACACAATGTACAGAATCGTCTTTCTCCGAAGACACGGGATGCTCCACGGTGCTCACGATGAGTAGCTCTGGTTCTCTTTGTCGTGGCCCACGATGAATCCTCTGATTCTTTCGGCGAATCTACCCCTGCCACAGGCCAGCCAAATCACTGTCCCACTGCGTGCACCGTCGTGGAGGCCTTCAACCACAAATCCAGCCTGTAGCTGGCAGGTTCCGATCAGCTCCGCTGAGTAGGCCACTCCACGATCGATACTAGGGTTGCGAGCCCTAGGCAGGAGCCTCGTGTGATTCCGCAGATCACTCTCCTCTCTCTGCACCACAGTGGCCAGTCTCTCCCACCAGCCAGCCCCCAAATAAGACGATTCCTGGTACTGCCACGTCACAGGCAGGCTAACGCACTCAACAGTGTTCATCCGGGGGTGACTCACAGCTTCTGCAGCAAACACATGGAGAGACTATGGCTGCCTTGGGTAGAATGCCCAATCGTTTAATACAGCCGTCCCAGGTCGACTCTGTAATCAGACACTTCATTAGTGTTGGGGACACTCTAGGGCACCTCACTTGCAGGCTTAGACACAAACGTCCACCTATCCACTCCATAGATGGCGTTGCTGTCTAAGCGCCACCTCACCAGAGGTCAGCAGCGGCTACGTTACTAGCTGATCAAGACGGGAAACCAACCCCTGTGGCCGGTATATCCTGTCCCCACTAGATGGCTTCGTCCATTTGGAGGGGGTTTCGGGAGCTGACCCACAGATGGCGTTGTCGTCACCGCTCCGTGCTACGACGCTGGGCTCGGGTCCGTAACAAGCACGCTCAGAAAGTCTTATTTGATAATAACCCTTTAAGAGGTTTCTTTGGGACAAAAGGGTAAGGGGGTACAAATCTTTAATGGTAACTGCATTTAACTTCCTGTTATCTGTGCACAGTCTAACCATGCCATATGGTTTGGGAAACAGTATGCATGTGAAGCCCAAGGAGACTCACAAGGTGTAGCTAATCCATTGTTGAGGATGTACTTTACTTCTGTGAACATGGCTTCTCTCTACACACATAGATCACACTAACGTGATGCAGCAAATGAACAAATCCCCAATCCTCCCGGTCACAGGTTCGAATCCTCATAATGGCCCTTGTGGATTTGTTCATGGCTTCTCTCTTCTGTAGACTGATGCAGTAGTAAGGTTGAAGGATGGACATCGTATCAGGAAGCAGCTGGATATCATGTTGCAGTAAATTACATTCCTGTGGAGTGTCTTGAAACAGTTTTTGATAGATAGAGAGTAGTTTAATCATAGAAGTACTATTATTAGAATATATTTGGGAAGATCTTTTAAGATCTCACTGTTAGATTTCATAGTCTCAAATTAACAAATCCACAAGGGCCGTGACGAGGATTCGAACCTGCGTCCCGGAGCATCCCAGACACTGCCTTAATCGACTGAGCTACGACAGGGTAAAAGGGTTGAAACCGAAGTTCTACTGAACTTACTGGATGCCGTAGCCTCTCCGAGGCACAAACCATGCTTTTACACAACCCCCCCCCCCTTGCACCCGAGCTATGTCAATAGGCCGTTCTCCCTCTTCGCCCTTACATCATCACACACAGAGATCACACTAACGTGATGCATCAAATGAACAAATCCACAAGGACCGTGACGAGGATTCGAACCTGCGTCCGGGAGCATCCCAGACACTGCCTTAATCAACTGAGCTACGACAGGGTAAAAGGGTTGAAACCGATAACTGCCTATTGACATAGCTCGGGTGCAGGGGGGGTTGTGTAAAAGCCTGGTTTTTGCCTCGGAGAGGCTACGGGATCCAGTAAGTTCAGTAGAACTCCGGTTTCAACCCTTTTACCCTGTCGTAGCTCAGTCGATTAAGGCAGTGTCTGGGATGCTCCGGGACGCAGGTTCGAATCCTCGTCACGGCCCCTGTGGATTTGTTCATTTGATGCATCACGTTAGTGTGATCTCTGTGTGTGATTTCATGGTCTCGATGGCAATTTTACACTCAGATGGAGAGGTAGCAGGCTAGGCATCACTGTTGGGATAACTCTCGGTAAAAGCAGATACATATAATAACATTGGTGGCGGATTACCTTGATAACTGTTGAACAGGTTGACGTGGCAGAGTTGTATCTAGGGACGCCGGTCTGGAGTCTCTAGAATGTAGTTGTTGTTGTTGTTCTTGCATTCTTTGATGCGATATGGTCTTGAAAATGTACTCTTAAATGGAGAGGTGGGGATAGGAAAATAGGCTAGAACGAAGTCTCCTACATTAAACTTTCTTACCCTAGTATTCTTGTCAAAGTGTGCTTTCATCTTATGTTGGGAGATCAGTAAATTAACACTAGCAAACGTATGTAATTGATCAAGTTTATGTCTCAAGTTTAAAAAAAAAACTGAAGCACATTAAGGGAATCACTGAAGGTGGTTGACGTCAAGGAATCTTTTTAAAGCTCTATGAGGACCATGACACTTTCGACCGCAGAGTATCTCATAAGGAAATACTCCAAGGACTCATTAGGATGACTTCTGAAAATGCACATAAGGAGATCTAATTGCTTATCCCAATCCTTCTCAGTATCAATACAAAATTTCTTTATCAAAGACTTAATGGTTTGATGGCTACGTTCAAGAGATCCCCGTGAAGCAGGAAGATCTGGACTAGACAAGACTTGAGTGATGTTAAATTCTTGAAGGGTTTTCTTAAACAACTCATTGGTGAAATTAGTCCCAGTCACTTTTGTATCTCTTTCGGGAAACCTTACTGAGTGAAGATCTTCAACAGGTGCTTGACAACTGTAGCAGCAGTAATATTCTTAACGAGAACTGTTATTGGGAACCTGGTTGTAGGACACATTATAGTGATGATGTGCATGTTGCCTGCGTGGGTTTTTGGTAAAGGCCCAACAGTCAATTATTAACCTGGTAAAAAGTTCAGAAGGCACAGAAATAGGGATAAGTGGTGCTTTGGGATTACCTACATTTTTTTTTTTTTTGCCATTTGACAGGTATAACAATTACTAACATATATCTTGACATCTCGTGCCATGCTTGGCCAAATTTAGTCCTGTAAAAGGGCATTATAAGTTTTATGGATCCCATAATGTGACATTGGACCATGTGCGAGGGATATTATTTCGTCTCTTAGAGATGTTGTAGCCACTAGTTGATTCATGTCAGCCCAATCATCCTTTGAATTTACCGAACCTGTATGTACAGTACAATAATTGATTAGTGTCTGTATAATATCCTGGAATGGCATCGGTCTTAATCTGCGCTTGATAGAAAAGAGGGGTTAGTGACAAATCTGCTTATTGTAACTTACAGAACTTCAACTGGTTGAGATTAGGTTGGAGGCCTCGCACGTCTTGAGCGACAGCTGCTGCTACTTGTTGTGGTTGAGCGGCTTGTGCACGGGTAGTCACTAAAACAGGCTGGGAGGTGTCTGCTTATTCTTCTGTCACGGATACCTCTTCATCTGCTTCAAAAGTCATAGCGGGATCTTTTTCCGTGGTTGAGTCACATGCCTGGGGTTTGTCGCAGATGATCAAATTGGTGGAATCTTGATGGTTGACCAAGTCGTTGCCCAGGAGAAGTTGAATTCCTGGCATGGGGAAAGGTTTTTCCCAAATAGCAACTTGGACATTTCCATGAATGAATGGACACGCCAGGTAGACTGTGGCGAGCGGGAATGGTGTAGTTGCAGTGAGATCAGTGATCAAGACAGTTTCTCTAGTGTAGGTGACTTGAAGTGCAGCGGCTTTTAGTAAAATAAGACTGCAGCGAAGCTGTGTCCATCAAGATGCGTAATGGGCTCTTATCCTCGAAATCTCAACCATTTGCTGACACAGTTCCTGGATACACATGTCTGTCAAAGAAAGCAAGATCACTAACAGGAACATTTACATGTAGTACAGGCATGGTAGGATTAGTGGGTTGATGCTTAGGCTTAGGTGAAAGAGTAGTGGTGGCTACAGGGTGGGGTCAGCCTCTACATCAAAGACACACTCATCTGTATTGAGCTGCTAAACACCACAAATAATATAGTGGAAGTGCAGATAATCAAAATAGAGATCTTAAATGTAGTTATTGTCCTTGTATATAAGTCACCGGAGGCAAATCATCAGCAGTTTAAGGACCAACTAATGAAAATAGAACACATAAGAACAAAGGCAACTGCAAAAGGCCCATTGGCCCATACGAGTCAGCGCCTATCTATAACCACCCAATCCCACTCATATACTTGTCCAACCCGCGCTTGAAACAATCGAGGGACACCACCTCCACCACGTTACGCGGCAATTGGTTCCACAAATCAACAACCTTGTTACTGAACCAGTATTTACCCAAGTCTTTCCTAAATCTAAACTTATCCAATTTATACCCATTGTTTCATGTTCTGTCTTGTGTTGATATTTTTAATACCCTATTAATATCCCCCTGTTATGTCCATTCATCCACTTGTAAACCTCTATCATGTCACCCCTAACTCTTCGCCTTTCCAGTGAATGCAACTTAAGCTTTGTTAATCTTTTTTCATATGAAAGATTTCTAACTTGGGGAATTAACTTAGTCATCCTACGTTGGACACGTTCAAGTGAATTTATATCCATTCTATAATAAAGCGACCAAAACTGAACTGCATAATCTAAATGGGGCCTAACCAGCGTAAGATATAGTAGGCATCCTTCAGTCTCGGGAGACTATGGAGTTGCGCCCTAGTTGTCAATTCTTGTGCAGCGTCTGGTGTGACTGATGAGGCCAATCCGAGAGTGACAGTCCTTCCCACACCGAGCACAAACGAAGTCCGATTCTGGTCTGTCTTCCTGGCTACCGGCTTTCCTTCTCTGTCTCTTTGCCTCCGATTCCTTGGCAAGTGACTCCTCGAACTTGGAGAGACCTCTTTGAACAGACTGCCTCCAGGCTGAACGGTCTGCAGCCTGTGTCTCCCATATAGCTAGATCGACGTCCATGGCTTTCAGGTCCCTCTTGCATACGTCTTTGTACCGTAGCTGGGGCTTGCCTGTTGGACGCTTTCCCTGCATCAGCTCTCCGTACAGGAGATCCTTGGGGATCCTGCCGTCGCCCATTCGCACAACGTGCCCGAGCCAGCGCATTCGTCTCTGTTTCAGCATTGTGTACATGCTGGTGATTCTTGCTCTCCCCAAGACGTTGTTGTTTGTCACCTTGTCCTGCCAGGTGATGTCCAAGATGTGTCGAAGGCAGCGCATGTGGTAGGTATTCAGCTGTCTTTCCTGACGGGCGCGGAGTGTCCAAGACTCACTGCCATAAAGAAGAGTGCTCAGGACACAGGCTCTGTAAACCTGAATCTTAGTATACTCAGTTAGCCTTTTGTTGGTCCACACTCTCTTTGTCAGTCTGGACATGGTAGTAGATGCCTTACCGATGCGTTTGTTTAGCTCCGTATCAAGAGAGAGGGAGTCAGAGATTGTGGAGCCCAGGTACACGAAGTCATGAACGACTTCCAGTTTGGAATCAGAGATGCCGATGTCAGGTGGGGAGTCCACTCCTTGTCCCATGACTTGTGTTTTCTTCAGACTGATGGTGAGTCCGAAAGCCTGAGAGGCCTCGCTGAAGCGGGTTATGAGCCGTTGGAGGTCTTCAGCTGAGTGGGCAGTGACTGCTGCGTCGTCGGCAAAGAGGAAGTCGCGCAGACACCTCAGCCGAACCTTTGTCTTTGCTCTCAGCCTGGCGAGGTTAAAGAGCTTTCCATCCGACCTGGTCCGGAGGTAAATGCCTTCCGTGACAGATCCGAAGGCGTGCCGCAGCATAACTGCGAAGAAAATCCCGAATAGGGTTGGAGCCAGTACGCAGCCCTGCTTTACTCCACTTCGGATGTCAAAGGCGTCTGATGTTAGGCCATCAAAGACCACGGTGCCCCTCATGTTCTCATGGAAAGATCTGATGATGCTGAGGAGCCTGGGTGGGCATCCGATCTTGGGGAGGATCTTGAACAGGCCATCCCTGCTGACGAGGTCGAAGGCCTTCCTCAGATCTATGAAGGCTACAAAGAGTGGCTGCTTCTGTTCCCTGCATTTCTCCTGCAGTTGTCTGAGGGAAAAGACCATGTCGATGGTGGACCTGCCAGCTCTGAATCCGCATTGTGATTCTGGATAGACTCTCTCTGCAAGTACTTGGAGCCTCTTCAATGCGACTCGAGCAAACAGCTTTCCGACAATACTGAGGAGGGAGATTCCACGGTAGTTGTTGCAGTCGCCCCTGTCACCTTTATTCTTATACAGTGTGACGATGTTGGCATCCCTCATGTCCTGTGGCACCTCTCCTTCTTCCCAGCAGAGGCAGAGAATTTCATGCAGCTCCATGAGCAGGCTACCTCTGCAGCACTTCAAGGTCTCAGCAGGAATGCCATCTTTGCCAGGAGCTTTACCAGAAGCAAGGGAGTCTAGGGCATCGCTGAGTTCTTCCAGGGTCGGTTCGCTGTCGAGCTCCATTAACACAGGCAGACACTCAATGGCGCTCAGGGCATCTTCGGTGACCACATTGTCCCTGGCGTATAGCTCAGAGTAGTGCTCGACCCAGCGCTTCAGCTGCAGTGTCTGGTCCTGAATCACCTCACCAGTGGCAGATTTCAGAGGAGCGGTCTTCCTCTGGATTGGGCCGAGGGCCTGCTTGATGCCGGCATTCCCCTTACATTACCTGTATCCGCTGCAGTCTGTATCTGGGAGCAGAGCTGGAGCCAATAGTTGTTGGCACATCGCCTGGCGCTCTGCTGCACTTTGCAGCGGACGGCCCGAAAGATCTGTAAGTTGCACTGACTTGGGCAGGCTTTGTAGGCTGCCAAGGCGTTCCTCTTCTCTTCGATTACAGGTGTCATCTCTTCCGAGTGAGCCTCGAACCAGTCTGCTGACCTGCTGGTCTTCTTGCCAAAGGTGGAAATGGCAGCGTTGAACACAGCGTCTCTGAAGTGCTCCCATCTTTTACAGGCAGTGACCCCAGCTGGGCCAGGGAGAGCTTCCTCGAGCACGTGTGCAAAATCTTCCACCTTGTCCTGGTTGCGGGTCTTGGTGGTGTCGATGCGAGGTCTGCCCGCCTTTTTCGAGTGATGAATCTTGACCCTGCTACATACCAGGGAGTGGTCGGTGTCACAGACAGCACTCTGGTAGCTACGCGTAATCTTGACGCTGTGTAGACTTGCACGCCTGGTAAGAATCAGGTCAAGCTGGTGCCAGTGCTTGGATCTGGGGTGTCTCCAAGATACTCGGTGTTGAGGCTTTGTGCCGAAGAACGTGTTGGTGACACAAAGACCATGAAGGCAGCAGAGTTCTAGCAGACGTTGCCCGTTCTCATTCATCCTTCCTATGCCGAATTGACCCAGGCAAGTGGGCCAAATGTTGTGCTCGGCACCCACTCTGGCGTTGAAGTCGCCGAGGATGAATAGTGGCTCCTTTGCAGGGATTCTCGCTATGACTCTGTTGAGGTCATCGTAGAATTTTTCCTTTGCCTCTGCTGGAGAAGTCAGGGTTGGTGCATATGCACTAATTACATTGACTGGTCCTGTTTGGGAGTACAGTTGCAGAGACATAATTCGTTCGGTTTCCCCCATCGGTGGCATAATGTGTCCCAACAGTGCATTCCTAACGGCAAATCCCACACCATGTTCTCTGGTCTCATCTGGAGGTTTTCCTTGCCAGAAGAAAGAGAAGGTCCTCTCTCTCACAGATCCTGATCCTGGGAGCCTGGTCTCTTGGAGAGCAACAATATTCATCTGAAGCTTGCTGAGCTCCCTATCGATGATTGCTGTTTTTCGGGCGTCATTGATTTCTTGCAGGTCGTCAGAGAAACCTGGTGTCAGTGTCCTGACGTTCCATGTGCCCAGCTTTAGGGCAGTTGATATTTTCTTCTTTGGTTTGGTATTGCTTAGTGCAAAGTTGTCGGGCCGCTTGTCAGTTTTCACCCTAAACCCCACGCACCCAGTGAGGTTAACGGACCGTGGCGAAGCAACACCTTATTGGCTGGGGTTTGCCCAGCTTGAGGCGGGCGGTAGCTGCCCAGTGGGGCGCGATGACCCCTCCCACCGTCGGAAGCAACCCCTGGCGTCACACTCTTCGCCAATCGAGCAGAAGACTTAAAACCGGTAGACTGTCGCTTCCCGTGTTGGTTCGACGCTGTGAGGCGAAGCTGGAGTGTCCTCTCCAGGGCGCAAAGCCTGGGTAGGTAGATATGGAGGAGAAGCTGTTACCCATGCAGCAGGTCCCCCCTCTCCACGTTGCTGAAATTATCCAATAGAAAGGCAAATGCCAATACGCATGGTTCCAGCAACGTCGCAGGAGCTGCCAGAACGAGGTCGACGTCAACAACGAACTGCCTTAGGGGCTCCAACTCCGGATTTTTCCTCGAGGTTGACTCCTGAAGCCTTCCCAAAAAAGGGTATGGCCGCAAGGCAGCGGAGGTTTAAAATCAGGGTTTTCCTTCCCCTAGATGGGCTGCCTTCCCAGGCTATCGAGTCCCATCTACCCGGAGCAGCTGGTTTTAAGGCGCCAGAGGCACGCCCTCGCCCCTTCTCCTGTCGGTAAAAGCAGTTCCGCCGGACTTAGACTAAGCCACCCGTGCAGGCCAGGAGTTGGACTTG